GCTTCCACTCCGCAGCGCCTGGGTTCAAGCCCTGGTCAAAGCACCATCTCAAAAAAATTTAGAAAAAATGTTTTTTTCTTAACAGCGGTCGCCCTTCGGCAGGCAATGGCAAACCTCCGAGTGTATTTCTGCCATGAAAAACAGCTTCTCATGAAAATACAATCGCCGTTCGGAGTCGGCGTAAAACTGTAGGTCCATCCTCTTTGTGTGACAACATCAAGACGCACGCCACAAATCGGAGGAGAAGCTCGGCCAAACACTAACATATGTGTAAGCGCCAATCTATTATTATTATTATTATATATATGTTGTGGCATACTAATATTAATACACTTATGTGTATATGTATAAATACTATAAATAAGTGTAAAGACGATCTCTTATTTTTTACTTTTTGTAAAAATGTGACTGCAATATGAATGAATTTCAATTCCATAGTTTTTAGTTTATTCAGTTTGTAATTAGCTTTTAAATTGATATAAAATAAAGACATTTATATTTATTTGCTTAAAAACACAGATTAATTTTATTTCTAGTATTCGCGCTAAAGTAAGACTACAAAACTAATTTGTTTGCATATTTTAATTAATGGTAATAATATCGCGAAATATCCCGGGATCCCGGGATTACCAATTTAAGATCCCGATATCCCGGGATTCACAAAATGTTCCGGGATTGGATGCCTTAGTTCGGATTATCTGGGAGCGTTATGTTGTCTCTGTATAGTTTTTGCCTGCAGGTAGGTAAAAGTCGGTGATTTTTGGCCTGGTGGTACTTCGGAGTGTCCATGCCTGTTGTTTTGTTGTTATTTTTCTTTTTCTCGTAAATTAATTTTAAGGGTTCGAATATAACATCCGATGCGCCTGGGTTCAAGCAACATCGCAAAAAAAATATAAAAAAATGTNAATGTTTTTTCTTAACAGCGGTCGTCCCTCGGCAGGCAATGGAAAACCACCGAGTGCATTTCTGCCATGAAAAACAGCTTCTCATAAAAATACAATCGCCGTTCGGAGTCGGTATAAAATTGTAGGTCCCTCCGCTTGGTGGGACAACATCAAGGCGCACGCCACATATCGGAGGAGAAAGTAGGCCAAACACTAAGGTAGCGCTACTAGACGTCCTGGTTTTCCAGGATTTGTCCTGATTTAAAGAAATTGTCCGGGTGTCCTGGTCCACACTTAAATTGTCCTGGTTTTTTAATGAAGGTCAATACAGACACTCCTCTAATTTTTAAGAGATTTTGCTATGATTCTGTTTAGTTTATTTGGTCAAAATCTCAATTTTTTCAGCCAAATGCCAAAAAAGTGCACGTTCCTGATCAAGTACACGGCTGAGGGGTCATACATAAGTACTACCCAGAAGGTAATTTCAGGAGATAAAATCTCATCAAAAAGGCCTTTCCTTCATTTTTTGTATGGAGTGGCACAAATTGATGGGCTTCTGCTTTCGCTACTAACAATTGAGCTTTCAGAATGGCTTTTGCGGGAAGTCTGCTGAAGAAGTTCTTTTAAAGTTTTTCTTTATTCATAAAAATCATACTTTTATAAGAAATTTATTTAAGGCTCATATCAAATAGTTTTATTTAGACTTAAAATGCCTATTCAATCTTATTTGTAATGCTAAGGAATATAAACATTTACTTAAGTACATTCGCGTAAATTGTAAATAGGAAACACCTTTCTAGGAAGCATGCATGGAAGCACTTTTTTCAGTCCTTGTTGGGTAAGCCTTTTAGAATGGCTTCACTTAAGACAGCCTACCTAAATTATCTTCAGGTTATGCATTTACAAAATGGCAAAAATTGATCATCCGTCACGAGAAATTTGCTCTTTTATGATTAAAAAATTCGGAACTTGAACATTTCATTACCATCAATCATTCAGCTCTACGGATTGTGCCACAAAATTACATTGCTTATAATATCAGAACCAAAGCAACTGTACTTATAGGAAATATGTTGGCACCATATTTACTTGTATCCTCGTTTTTGAATTGGATGATTAGTGTCCTGGTCGAAGGGCTAAGGATTATGGCAGCCCTAATATAAGGGCCAATCTACTATTATTATTATAAGCGAAATAATGGCAGTGGGACAATTTGACCAGTTTCGCCTATTCTTTTCATTGATTATTTTTTTATTGATTTTATATAAACGTCTAATTCATAATTTAATAAACACAATATATGTACACAAATCGGCATCTCAAACTTTGTATAAAATTTATAAAAAATTAGCTGGTTTTCGCAACAACAAACTTTGAGTCCGGAATTTTTAGGATTCCTAATTTTCGATTTTATGCATTTTTTCCACACATACGCGTTCCACAAGTAAGTTTGAGAGTTTCTTTGATATACGCTCACAGTTTGAACTTTGCTCGAGTTTTTCTACAAGTAGCTTGTGGAACAAGCCTAATATCGAGGGCTTATATTCAATAGCCTCTATCTGCAATTTTCACAAAAACAACTTTGTGATGTTAGAACCCATCTGGGTCTTATTTGACATTACTGTGTGACTCGCAACTATCGATGGCGACCACTATCGGCCATATTTGATGTTCGATACTATCGAGGAATTGCCATATCTATGTATGATTTTTATGTACCAAATCTATGTTGAAACGCGTTTGTGTGAAATTTTTTAAAATACTCGTGTAACAAAATATGGACAAATATCTAACTCGCAATGCAAAAAGTAACGTGTTTGTTATAGATAATTTTATATGGCATTTGTTTCATTATATGTAATAACCAGGGAACGGATTTTTAGGACCTAAAAACCTATAAAAAAGGCAAAATAAAGTAACGAAATAGGCTGGAAAAGGCAAAATAAAATAGTGAAAAAGGCAGGAAAAGGCACTAGGTATTGCAAAAAAGGCAAAACAAAATAGCGAAAAAGGCAAGAAAAAGCAAAAAAAAAGGCACTAAAAAAAGACAGAAAATACGAAGAACAATCAAAAAATATATTTATTTTAGAAATTTTTATATTACAAGTAAAAAGAGAAAAACTATGAACTAGTTTCATTATATGAAAAATTTGTACTTTGAATCTTTGACTATTTTATCCTTTCGAGTTTCTAACTCATAAAACCTTAATCTGTATAGTTGTAGTAACATTGAACCACAAGATGCATTTTGAAGTTTTCTGGCAGCATTTTCATTAGATTTTCGCGAAGAAAAGCCTTGAATGTACTAAATGTGCGCTCGACGCAAGTTGATACAAGTGAAGCCCAATTTAAATATGGAACGTTTGAAACGTTCATATTATCACGAATAAGGGCGTTTTTCTCGCCCTTTACAATTTTATCCACAACCCTTATTGTCCTCATGCCTACGTTAGCTGAGAAAACGGCTTTGAATTTTTTCAACACGAATTTGGCAAGAGGTCCCTGCGCTTCTATAAGCCGCATGGGCATGTGTATATTTTTTAATCTCAAAAAAAAATATGTAAATGCTATAATCACTTTTTTAAAGGTAGAAAAGGCAAAAAAGGCCATTCCAAAGCCAATTTCCATAAAATCCGTTCCCTGGTAATAACTTTTACAGAAAACTAGAGCTTAAGTCATGAAAACTTTTGTACAAAAAAATCTCAACATAAAATCATAAAAGTAAAAATATAAAAGTTTTATAAGTAAATAAACAAGAATTTAAGTAAATTAATGAACATTTTATAGTGTCGCGACATATTTTTCTTTTTTTCTTTAAAGCTTATTAATTTTTATAAAAGCCCAGCTTATCGTCTAACGAAAACCATGTAAATCCCAATTCAAACTTTGTGCAACAAAATTTTTATGAACCTCATATCGATTTGTATTTTTATTAAATGAATTTTTCGCAACTGTTAGTAGAATGATTTTTGTCACAATATTTAACAATGTTTTATTTTATAACATTATATCCAATCTTCTTGGTCGCTTAATTTTTTCATTTTATTTTGTTGATTTTTGGTTGATTTTCGCTTTAAGTCATAAATTATTGTTATACTTATGTATCTATATGTATACATACATAAACATGATAAGAACTTACAATTACATACCATATACTCGAATATGACGAAAATTTGCGATTATAAGCTGGAGTGAACAAGAAATTGGAAAAATAAAATAATACAATTGAATAATTGCGCAACTCCGTGAGTGCTCACGAGAATTGCACTAAAATTGTGTTTACTGGGTATTTAATTTATTATAGATCGGGGCAATGCAAACGTTTTGAAACGTACCAATGTTAAATAATTTATTGATATAATATAAAGAAGTATTTTCTTAAATTGATTAATTGAATTTAGTGTAGTAAAAACACATAAAATATTTACTCTTTATATTTTCCAAACACTTTATACATAAATTAAAGGCTTAAATATATGTTCCGAAAATTTCGGGGGGGAGGTTTCAATTACTTAATATTAAATAACTAAATTATTACAGTAAATCACTTTTATGAAGGATTCCTTAGATATACATAAATGCATAGTAAAATTAGATAGAATTCCAATTACGGAAGGGAAATATACCGAAATATGATTTATTTTGGAACGAATTTCCGTCATCCCTTGTCAATTTTGGTTTGCAGATAAACCGGTTTCGGCATTGTGCCATCTTCAGTGTCATTTTTCGTTCTGTATGGCTCGAGTTTTTGTCCTTAATTTATGTTCATTTATCTTAGGTAATGTGATTTTCGTCGATGATTAATTATTAGAAATGCCAAGGTGTCCTTTTTTATTTCAGAAGCAGGTAATAGGTTAATCTTCGGTGTCTCGATATTAACATCCGTTATGTTGTCTCCGTATAGTTTTTGCCTGCAGGTAGGTAAAAGTCGGTGATTTTTGGCCTGGTGGTACTTATGGTGTTTTCGGAGTGTCCATGCCTGTTGTTTTGTTGTTATTTTTCTTTTTCTCGTAAATTAATTTTAAGGGTTCGAATATAACATCCGATGCGGTATTTGTTTGTTCGTTTATTATTTTGCCGTCGAAGGTTTTTAGTTTGTATTTCCATATTTTCTAGAACGTTTAGTCGTTGGCCTTTATGTTGTACATGCAGTTGTTTCGCTGACTTTCTTACTTGCGTTGGTGAACATTTGTTGTTAAACATGTGGTTAGCAAAATTTGACTCTGGTTTTGCACTCGGTTTCTGTGTCTTTTTGTTATAGTCAGTAGTATAGTATATACAAACTAAAAACCTTCGACGGCAAAATAATAAACGAACAAACAAATACCGCATCGGATGTTATATTCGAACCCTTAAAATTAGTTTACGAGAAAAAGGAAAATAACAACAAAACAACAGGCATGGACACTCCGAACACACCACAAATTACCACCAGGAAAAAAATCACCGACTTTTACCTACCTGCAGGCAAAAACTATACAGAGACAACATAACGGATGTTAATATTGAGACAGCGAAGATTAACCTGCTTCTGAAATAAAAAAGGACACCATGGCATTTCTAATAATTAATCATCGACGAAAATCACATTACCTAAGATAAGTGAACATAAATTAAGGACAAAAACTCGAACCAGACAGAACGAAAAATTACACTGAAGATGGCACAATGCCGAAACCGGTTTGTCTGCAAACCAAACTTGACAAGGGATGACGGAAACTCGTTCCAAAATAAATCAACTTACCACCTGTCGGAAAAATCAACCAACACCAACACACCGAAATATAGCTATTCAGACATTTTTGGACACATATGTAGTACCCATAAGCGAAATAATAGTCGACCACTGTGGTGTAGTGGTAAGCAGTGCGCGCTTCCACTCCGCAGCGCCTGGGTTCAAGCAACACCGCAAAAAAATATAGAAAAAATGTTTTTTCTTAACAGCGGTCGTCCCTCGGCAGGCAATGGAAAACCACCGAGTGCATTTCTGCCATGAAAAACAGCTTCTCATAAAAATACAATCGCCGTTCGGAGTCGGTATAAAATTGTAGGTCCCTCCGCTTGGTGGGACAACATCAAGGCGCACGCCACATATCGGAGGAGAAAGTAGGCCAAACACTAAGGTAGCGCTACTAGACGTCCTGGTTTTCCAGGATTTGTCCTGATTTAAAGAAATTGTCCGGGTGTCCTGGTCCACACTTAAATTGTCCTGGTTTTTTAATGAAGGTCAATGCAGACACTCCTCTAATTTTTAAGAGTTTTTGCTATGAAAAAAAGGTTAAGCTTTCTGTCAAATTGATAACGAAATGATTTTAGTAACATGTTGAATATCTGGTGAGTTTACCTTCTTTCTGTTTAGTTTATTTGGTCAAAATCTCAATTTTTTCAGCCAAATGCCAAAAAAGTGCACGTTCCTGATCAAGTACACGGCTGAGGGGTCATACATAAGTACTACCCAGAAGGTAATTTCAGGAGATAAAATCTCATCAAAAAGGCCTTTCCTTCATTTTTTGTATGGAGTGGCACAAATTGATGGGCTTCTGCTTTCGCTACTAACAATTGAGCTTTCAGAATGGCTTTTGCGGGAAGTCTGCTGAAGAAGTTCTTTTAAAGTTTTTCTTTATTCATAAAAATCATACTTTTATAAGAAATTTATTTAAGGCTCATATCAAATAGTTTTATTTAGACTTAAAATGCCTATTCAATCTTATTTGTAATGCTAAGGAATATAAACATTTACTTAAGTACATTCGCGTAAATTGTAAATAGGAAACACCTTTCTAGGAAGCATGCATGGAAGCACTTTTTTCAGTCCTTGTTGGGTAAGCCTTTTAGAATGGCTTCACTTAAGACAGCCTACCTAAATTATCTTCAGGTTATGCATTTACAAAATGGCAAAAATTGATCATCCGTCACGAGAAATTTGCTCTTTTATGATTAAAAAATTCGGAACTTGAACATTTCATTACCATCAATCATTCAGCTCTACGGATTGTGCCACAAAATTACATTGCTTATAATATCAGAACCAAAGCAACTGTACTTATAGGAAATATGTTGGCACCATATTTACTTGTATCCTCGTTTTTGAATTGGATGATTAGTGTCCTGGTCGAAGGGCTAAGGATTATGGCAGCCCTAATATAAGGGCCAATCTACTATTATTATTATAAGCGAAATAATGGCAGTGGGACAATTTGACCAGTTTCGCCTATTCTTTTCATTGATTATTTTTTTATTGATTTTATATAAA